CGAGGCCTGTGCAGCCGTGGCTGGCAGGCCGAGGGCGCGCGGGGGTTTGGGGTGCAGGCCGCGGGGAGAGGAAGGGCTGCCCCAGGGTGCCGGTGCGGGGCTGGTCCCAGCCGGCCTCCTGTCCAGCTGAGACCCCCAGGCCCACCAAAACCCCCTCCTGGCTAGCTGAGACGCCGGGCCAGCTGAGAACCGCCGGCCAGCCTGGCTCCTGTAGCTCACTGCCCAGCAGTGAGAGCAGGATCGCGTGGCTCACAGGGTGTCTCCCCAGCCCTCAGGAGGCTTTCCATCCCTGGCCTGCTTCCAGAGTCCTGGAAGCTACCTGTGACCACGTGCCAGGAGACCCCAGCCAGGAGGCCACTGCTGTGCCTCCTTCTTCGCACTTCCTGCCATGGGTGTGCGGGACGTGGGCACCGGGCAGCCTCAGCCAGGGCCCCCTCCACACGAGCCCCTCTCCTGCCAGACAGCAGCCGCATTGTCCTGTTAGCAAGCTGAGGGGCTGCGTGCGGGCAGTGCTGGCCGCCCGGTGGAGGCCAGGGCCACATGTGCTGGGAGCAGGCTGCTCAGGGCGCTTAGGCCATTGGCCAGGTGACCTACGTGCTGACGAGTGGCCTGGGTGCGCTGGAGCCCAGAGGGGGAGGAGGGAGGACACCAGGGCCCCTAGCAGAGGGCAGACCTCTGAAAGGCCCCTGTGGGGCGGGCAGCCTGGGGGCCAGTGTTGGAGACAGTGTAAATGAACACCGGTGAGTAGGGCGTCCCGAGCCTCAGCCTGAGGGATGTGCTGGGAAGTGTTTAGCAGCCTGGGCAAGGAGAGAGGTAGACAATGGCTTCCCACAGAGCGCCGATTCTTCCAAACTGTGGCATCCAGGCCCAGGCCCAGGCCCCAGCCTGAAACTCAAGGGTGCTGCCCAGGGACCTAGCAGCAAGAAGACCCCAGGGGAGAAGGGCAGCTGGGAAGGCAGGGAGCCCAGGCACCTGGCAGGCCTCGGGCACTGTCCGTCCTGGCGCTAGGCCCGGTCCTCCTGCCTGCTGTGTGTCCAGGCAGACACACAGGGGAAAGTGGCATCCAGGCACCAGCCCTGTGGCACACAAGGGTCTGACCAGTGAATGCCCGCAGCCACAGCCACTGCAGAGGCCTCCCATTCCGAGCCCCAGAGCACCATTTCCAAGAACATGTCCCCTAGGGCATGTGGAAACCATCTACAGCACCAGGCAGGCCCCCCACGCTCCTCACACCTCCCTGGAGGGACAAGGGACCCGCCAAAATCCCTTCCGCGGCTCTGCTCTCTCCCCATCTGCTCCAGGGTCAGCTTCCCGTCTAGCCGTGTCGAGGTCTCTCGGGATCCCGCCTTTGTCTAGAGAGGTTCAGCCTGTGTTGGGAGGTGGCACTGGTACTCTGCGGGCCCTTCCTTCCAAAGGTCTCGCTGAGCACCAGAGGCTCCCGCCTGTCATCCCAGCTACTCAGGAGGCTGAGATCTGAGGATCGCGGTTCAAAGCCAGCCTGGGCAAGAAAGTCCGTGAGACTCTTACCTCCAATGAACCACCAGAAAACCAGAAGTGGTGCTGTGGCTCAAATGGTAGAGCGCCAGCTCTGAGTTGAAGAACTCAAGGACAGTGCCCAGGCCCAGTGTTCAAGCCCCAAAACCGACAAAGGGCATGTCTTTGCTTGAAGATGGGACATCCAAGTGATTTCGACAACTGGGAGAGGATCTGGCATTTTTTCTCAAGTGGGTGGGAGCTAGGCTTGATGAATTTCTCAATACCTCAGCTGCTTGTGTGCATGTTTGAAAGTTTTTCCATAGCAGACTTTGATATTTTTTTTTGTTTGTTTGAGCCACAGTCTCATATTAGCCCAGGTCCGCCTGGGACTTGAGATCTTCTGACTCCTGAGTGCCGGAACTGCAGGTGTGTGCTGCTCTGCCCAGCTCAGAATAAATTTCTAGAAGATCAAGTGCCTGAAGGATGGGGGGGGCTGCCATTCCTGTGGTCTCAGCCTCAGTCTGAGCAGAAGCCTCCAGGGCAGGTGTCCACACTGGAGACTGCAGTGGGGAGCTGTGGCTGGATTCAACAGAGAAAAGCTGGGCACTGCTGGCTCACGCCTGTCATTCTAGCTCCTCAGGAGGCTGAGATCTGAGATCAAAGTTCAGAGTCAGCTTGGGCAGGAAAGTCCGTGAGACTTAAAAAAAAATGTTGGGGCTGGGAAGGTGGCTCAGTGGTAGAGCACTTGCCTTGCATGCATGAGGCCCTGGGTTCGAGTCCTCAACACCACATAAGCAAAAAGAAAAAAGCCAGAAATGGCGCTGTGGCTAAAGTGGTAGAGCG